TTTGAGCCGCTCCGTTCGGACGGCTGCTACAACTTGGAGGAACTCAACAGGCAACCAGCTGCTCCTGGACAAAAAAAAAATCCTGCTGATAATAATTTGCAATTATGTGACAAAACAGAGGGCACGGTTCAAATTGAAGTGCGGCCATACAATATTTATTAGGCCTTTTTGACTGAGCATAGAATCCGGGTGATACAGTCCCACCTGCAATAAATGTGGATGTGACATTAATAGTTAAAAGTATCGTCCTCTGTCTCATTTCACATGAATTGATTTCTTCCCAGGGCATTCGTTTAGTGAGGTTTATCGCTGAGGGGGCCAGGTTTGTTTCCAAAGGTCATGACAAATGTCCTCTCATGTGTGAATGATTAAATTCATGCATGTGCACGTGCACACTACATCTTCCCCGTCTCCTCCGCTCCCTTCCTCTCTCTTTCTTTGTCTTTGTCCTTTTAATTTTGACTGCCGGCTCAATAACAAGATGTGCACAGTCGAATGTTGTGCCGGCAGCGCAGAACCGCCCACCCGAACCGGTGTGATCGAATAAATACCTCTTAGGTATAATATTAAACATGTCCTCGCAGTCTGGGACTCGTGGTATATTTATTCCCTGAGTGTGCGGGGGTCTGCGTTACTGTGACTCACGGTGCTGGAACGTGGGTCCATTGTCGTTGACATCAGTCAGGCTGACGGTAACTGTGGTGGAGGAGGAGTAGCCGCCGCTCAGGCCCAGCATATCCTTCACCTGCACCACCACCAGGTACTGCTCCCTGGCTTCACGGTCCATGTTTGGCCAGGATGTTACAATAATCCCTGCAGGTGGAGCAGCCAGACAGAGAGAGAGGAGGCAGACAAGAGGAGAATCAGCATCATTAAGACGACATTAAACAGAACTGTGGGTGGATCTGTTGTAAGTAAACAAACTCTGCCTCAAGAAGTCTCCGAGATAGCTGTGCATTGTGTATAATAAAACTGCAGCAATATAAACTTCAAGCCAGCAAATTTAATCAGTGCAAAAAGAAATATCAAGAGGGCTTTCAGATGAGTTAATGCTCCGTCCGTCTGGCCAAAGTGGGCAGCAGTAAACAGATGAACAATTTGAATCAAGAGAATTAAATCGACCTGGAAAATATATAAGCTATTTTTCCTTTATAAGTCATAATTTCAATCACTGATTCATCTACAGAATCACGTGTTCAGATGCTTCTCAGCAGCTACACAATATACATGTATGTTTGTATGTTGTCATGTATGACACGTGGCCAAGAATCAATACTCAAACCCATCTGTGATTTTTTTTCCCAAACAGAAAACATGTTTTTCTCTAGTTTTACCAGAAAAATATCAAAGGCAACAACTTGGTTGTCTGCATTTCAATACTTTTACTCAAAACAGAGAAAATAGAAAAATTTTAGATTAACACGTAATTGATGAAATGAAATTTAACATCACCAGGACTTTGAAAATGATTAAAAAACTACTAATACAAAACAATATTTCTGAAGTGCAGAGAAGAAGTTTGTGTTTTTAATAGTGTCTCTTTAAATCACTAAAAAAGCAAAACCCCTCAATCTTAAAATGTTTAATATCGTAACCAGAAACCAATACATTTATCCCCAGGCTTAATATCCCATTAAAACACATTGAATCAGTATTATGAATCTGTAAAGTTTGATGGTTAAACAGTTTTACAGTGTTTCTCAGACTCTAATTACACAAAACTATATTTGTGAGTAGGACAGTTTTTGTCTGATTTTGGATCCATGGGATTTATTGACAATAGAATGACTCCTCTTCCTCGCAGGTTAACTGTAGCCACGAGCTACAACTACAACTTGTGGAGTTTCCGAGTCAACTGCTGTCGACCCTTCAATCAAAACCAACAAGTGTCTCCCTAAAAAGTCAGATTTGTGTCAGGAATGGCCTCCCCCAACTTTTCCACAGTTCAGGTCCACAGTGTGTGTGGGAGGAGCTGCAACTGACCTCTGAATCACATAGAAAACTTATATTGTGTTTTTTTATTTTAGCAGTTTATATAAATAGATGCAATTTGTCAATATCAATTGTCAGACATTTAGTCATCGAGGGAATTTGTTCGGTTTGTGAAGAAAACTCGACGAGACAAGTTTTCATGCCTCAATAACCACATACTGCAAATATTTCTGAACTTATATTAAATCGTAACTTTATTCCTGCACAATCAAATCTAGTGTGTGTGTCCTCTAAATAACCCGAGCTGTGTTTTCTCAGAGATTTGTGCAAGCAGTTCAAACTAAGCTCGTCCTCGGCTGTCGGAGCTACCCGTCTTTGGCTCCACGGAGAAGTAGGGCTCCCCCTGCAGGATGGAGTAGATGAGCTTGGCGTTGTTTCCGAACAGGGGATCATCAGCATCTGTGGCTGTCACCTGGGCCACTCTGGTCCCTGTGGAGTGGAGGGGGAGGGGGAGGGAGGGGGGTCACACAGTTGGAGTTAGCTCAGGCTGCAGTTCCAGTCCACGGGGGAAATAAAGTGATTATGCCACAGTCCCGCAGGGTTTGTCTGTCTGGCGCAGGGGGAGGGGGACCGGAGAGGGATGTTGACAAAAGAGGGAAGGGGGGGGGAGCAGCAATGGCAGTGCAGGTGTGTGTGACAACCTCTTCAGCCCTGTAGCGATATCTCCGTCTCTATTTCCACCTGACCCTTGTTTCTCTCCTTCACACTCTGATGCAGTTTTACCTCCCTATCTCTCACATTTACTCCCCTTTCCTCCGCTGACCATATCCTTCTCCTCACCTTGCTCCGCACAGTATCTCTCTCTCCCTTTTTCTCATCTATCTCATTCGTGGTTTCTTGTTCCCAGAGGGAGCTCTGTCTTTCACACAGGCGGGGATTTACTGCAGTGTTTCTTATTCTCATTCGCCTGCGCTCCAGCCTTCCCCTCTCACTCTCCCTTACTGAGTCAAATGCATTATGATTTATTACAAGTGAGATGTAATGCTGCGAAAGCAGATTACATATAAATTGAAATGGTAATGTTTGTGGTATGAAAAGGGCAGTGGTTATAATAACATTATTTAAGAAAGTTAGCCATAAAGGCATCCAAGCCACTGAAGATATGGAATCTAATACTTTTGACTTCCTGAACGGGGACAGATGACAGACATTCATATAACCTTTAGTTTATTGTCTTCAGTCAAGATTTAAGTTAAGGGATTCTACATTTGAAAAGTATAAAGCTAATAAAGGAAATACAATCCCAGAAAGAAAAAAGTTGAAATATTTAGTCACAAAAACAATCCATTGTTTCCATTTAAATCTTAAAAGATGACGTTGTGTGCTTGTACCACATCTTCCTACATCATTAAAAGCCTCAGAACAGTAATTTCTGCACTAAATTTAATGACATCTCATCTAACTATTGTCGGGATACATAAATACTCAAGTCTAAACTAAAGTTTCTGACTTATGACCGACGTTGCCACTCACTGTTAGCACGACTGTAAAAGAATCAAGAGTGCCTCATCTTATCAATATGAGAAATGGAAATACTCTCTGTAAATCACAGACCTTCCTTTGAACGGGTTATACTGAGGACCATTTATTCATCTACGATTTAGTTCCACTGAAAGCTGTTTACAGGGAGCCAGGCCTGCGGATTATTCGGAGAACAGGACGTTGGAAGGACATGTCGCTGTTGAATATTTAAACATGTCATTTTTTACTGCTGTGTTCCACAAATTAAATTTTGTTCGTCTCTGCTGGATTGGGGTGAAGGTAGAAATCTAATAGACAGATATGTCTCTGCGTTTTGGGGGATTTGAGTGAACTGGAGCTTTAAATGTGTCTCTACGTGCCTGTGTGTTCAGTGTGCAGTGTTCAAGGGAAACTTTTCTCTCAGACATACCAGTTGGACACATCTCGGGGATGCTGGACACATATGGTTCATTCTGGAACTGGGGGACATTGTCATTGATGTCTTGCACCTGGATGATAAACTCTGACTGGGGCTCCTCTGGCTCGTTGGACCTCCTGTTGATAGCCTGGGCTTGAAGGATGTAAAAAGCCTTCTCCTCACGATCAAGCTTCTTCAGAGTCCGGATCTCACCAGAATACTCATCTATCTCAAACACATCTCCGGCGCCTTCCCCTGATAATATGTACTTGATAGAAAACTCGCCTCGGTCGGAATCAGATTTGAGCTGCAGAAAGAGGAGAGGGAGCACACAAAAGCTTTATTCTTTAAACATAGTTTCCTGTGGCACCGAGAAAACAAGATTTTTCAAAGTGAAGTACCACATCAAGGACATGGAGGACATTCAATCTGAAGCAGTACCTGGCCAATAACACGAGGAGTGGGATCTTCCTCTGGGACAAACAGCTGTTTCCAGATCCAGCCTCTCTTCAGGCGACGGTGCAGATGAGTGGACCCCTGGGCAAATTGTTGGGCTTCCAGACCCTGAGTACATCTCATATCGCTGAGCACACCGCCAGGAAGCATAGAAAAGAACGTCACTACAGCCAAAACGCCCGGCGTGCTCATTTTTACTGTCCATCCGTGCATTTCTTCTGCGCTTCCCATGGTTAGTGGACAGTAGATGGAGGTGTCAGCGGTCCAGTGTTACCAATTCTTCACTCAACAACGCAGTCGTCCATGATCCCTGCAGAGCTGTATTCCATGTTGTTATGATGCTGTCTGTATGCACGCTCATGTCCCTGAAATAAAAGTTAAGAATTCAAGTAATTGCTGCAGTGAGAAATGTCCAGCAGTGCACAGACGTTTCAGAATGAGGAAATTGAAATCTGATGATGATTAGCTAAACAAAATGAATAATCCTTTCAAACAGTAACGTTAACATAATAACCATTTAGATGTAAGATATAAATACTACTTAATATAGAATAAACTGCTTAAATAGTTCAGTAAAGTAATGAATACACAGCTGAATTATTGAGCTAAAAGCAGGCTAATGGATCAGTGGTTGATATCAGTACACGTATGAACTTTGACAATTAATGGTGTGAAATTGTGAACAGAAATTAATAATGTCAGCTTCGATAATGAATAGTGTTTAAACTCAAAATTGCAAGTTGGTGTTAACGAGAGAATGAAGCTCGTCCAGCAGAGCTGCAGGTTAGTCTGACGAAAAGACTGAAAACAACAGCTCTGTATCATGACGTGGTCTTTTTCTATCTAGTTGTGTTGAACAGAAATTCAGAATTCTAACAATTCAATCACAAGGCCAATCAAAAATCACATTGGCAATAAAAAAACAAACAAAACAAAGGCTTTGTTCCTTTTTTTTCGTTTTTGCATTCAGCAGTCTTGCAGAGGAGGTCGAAAAATCAGCCCTTTGTTTTGAATACAGACAAGGCCTCGCATTGTGTCTCACAAAGGGGAAGCAGCGCCCCAACACCATTCCTTAAGCATGACGCTGCACTCTGCAGCTGACTAATGAAGACTTCTAATTAGATCAATGTCTCCCCAGACATGGAAAACAGAGACACACATGCCTCTGACAAACTATGAGTCAAATCGATGCACCAATTACAATGTGCAGCAGGATCAGGGTCAAGAGTGTGAGGACAATCAAAGTCAAGCGAGGCAGAGGATGAGGTGGGACCACACAAACACAATGGATTGGCTCTGACGATACTAGAATCTACAGAGTTGAACTTACTTTCTATTTAATATGTGGACTAAATGTTGTGTATTGTTACCACCCATTTTTAACTTTGTGCAAATTAAATTAGCAGGACTTTCACATACACAAATGGACATTTGGGGCGTGGTGACCATATCTGACTTTGGAGGTGCAAACAAACTTTATCACTCTGAAATATGTTTTGTTTTTTTACAACATAACTTAACAGTTTGGATGGTAAAAGCCATTCATTGAGTCTGAGTCCAATTAATGATTTCATCTGATAAACGAGCGCCTTTTAGAACAAAAATATCATAAGTGAAGACAAATAAAGGAACTTAATCAATAGTTTTGGGACAGTTTGTAATAAATCAGTCGAATTCATCTTACGTTCAACAATGTAGTTCACAACATTATCAAATTACAAACAAAGCCCTTGTGAAGAATCAATACATCAGCCACCCATAGCATGAGCAAATAGGGGAGGACTGCATTTCAAGATTCTGATAACTCTGATTTGAGTGTACTAATACATCTAAAGTACAAGACAGGTAAATGTAAATGTTTCCACAGTCACATCTTCAAAGCATCCTCAAAATGGATGCCTCCTATTTATCACCAACCATAAAGCGGTGGATAATTTCCGAATTAAAAGCTGAAAGAATATTTGCAGCACAGTCGTGTTTGTCTTGAACCTCTGAATGATGTTTCACTACAACAAACCATCTTAACAGTTTTTTTGATTTGTGACGCTGTAATACCTGCATACTGTGTACGTTTACATCCAAACTGCTGCATAGGAACACGAGTGCATGCACTTTTAGTCTGGGTGGTCCCGGTGGAAATTTTAAATATAGAGAATAGTGCAGGAAGTTGTTTTGGCAGTTATAGCAGTCGCAGTATTAATGCTTCAACAGCTCATAATGTTCATGTTTAATCTTGTGAAAGTGAATTAGTTGTCAGGATCCATTTTGTAACGAGCTGGTAAAATCAATTACTGATGAGAGCTTTCATTTCTTAATTCAATTTCGATACAGCACATGAATGAGAGTAGGTGTTTGTGCTTATGTAAGTCTTTACGGAGCGGATTCATATCTCCATGCATTGCGGAGTGACATTCCAATTAGTGGCCAGTGAATCGTGAGCTGTTATGGTCTTTCATGCGGCTGCCAAGCACGCGCCCAAACTGAACACCCTGAGCCAAAACCTAGACAACAGCCCTCAATGATGTTACTCTGAGCAACGGCTCAGCTGCCAACATGCCAAGGAGTCTGCTTGAGAAAAAAAATAAAAATAAAACAACCTCCCGGGGGTACGAGGATTTACTGATGTGGCTGGAATAGTGCACAGGTCAACAGATGTTTAGGTGCCAATTTAACAAGATGGGCCTTTCTAGCGAGAAGTGATGAAATTCGGGGAAAATAATGGGTACGCCAGCTCCAGTTCTGTAAATAGCAAAGGAGCCAGGAAGCAGGTAAAATACAAGTGTGTGTCCATAACTTACAGTTGTATATGGGTTCTGAGGGAAAAATCAAGAGAAGGAGAATATTAAAAACAACCAAAAAATGAGCTCTGTGGTCAATTTTCTCCTTTCAAGAGACCCTCATCTCTCGATGACATGCAGTACATGCAGAGTGCCCCGTGGCTGACAGCCATTCATTACCCCTAATAGGCCTTCCTCCCATTTCCTGCAGACCTCCTGTAGCCTGCATGTACAGTACGCTGCTCCGCCACATGACAGAATGACAATGAGCTGCAGTCTCACAATGTTGAGCACTAGATGCGCTGAGACGATCACATTATTTTCCTATATGCTGGTGTGTTTCAGCTAATAAAACGTCGCTCTGGTGCAGTAATGGTTTTCAGGATGCTATTAAAATGCGTCTCGTGTGCCAACGCAAATGTTGAAACGCGGTAATAAAGAAAAAGCAGCTTCCACTCGACATTCTGGATGACACGTCGATGTCGTGACCTGCGGACACTAACGGCTTAGTAATGCCGACTTTACATGAACATTAATTACGCTGTTTTTCTCGCATTAATCATCTGACTCGGTCGTACTGAAAAAAATAAATGGAAAAAGGGGAAAATATAAAGCTGAATGATAAATATTCACCCAGACCTCTCAGTTAACTACAGCGATTTACAACCTTGGGGAAAAAAAACAAACATCAGCTAAGCATCACTTCTTTAAGATCACCCCACCAAGACAAAATGTCCTTAATTGGTCATTTGGGAGCCCATCATGTTTACTGCTCAGCTCCACAGAACAATTACACTGGCATGTAGTTTATGTTCCTTAATTCAGGACGTCAAACGAGTCCAAGAACGACAGGGGAACGTCAAGTCGTCTTGTACTTGTTAGCAAGTAATTTGTTCGATTTTGTTACGAGCACAAGTGGAAATTATTAGCGTTTAGCAGTGTCACAGATTTCCACTGACATTTATCAGCAAGAGCCTATTATTTCTTTTTCTTCTTTTGGTGGAAAACAATTAACTGATGCTGCCAAAGTTATTAAGAATTAAAATAATAACATAAGATGAGTGGATGTAAACTACAGCAGGCAATTATCTGTAAAGAATTAATTATGATGAAAGAAGTTCCACAACAAGGTTCAAAGAGTATCACACATGGACGATATCTGGGAAAAATCACCACAACACAACTAGGTACATTAAAGACCATAGTGAATTCAATTTAACACCTGATGTATTTAAAATCCTCAAATTAGATTTTCAGATTTGAACTGTTCCGACTTTTAGCAGAAACCCTTGAGCTGTCTCTCCCAGGCTGGGTTCTCTCGTCATACACTGAGTTTCTTCTGCTGTGTTAAGAGTGAAACCCCCACTTTAGGAGAGGCAATGAAACTATAAATAATATATATTTCACCATGCCACATTTCAAATAATCTCTAAACTACAATTTTAAAATGCACTGAAAGCTTGTTGCTACACAACACAGGCAAGTACACAGGTCAGCTACACAACAGCGGAAGTATAAAGTGTGTGTGAACAGTCAGATTATCAATACCGAGGCCACAACGATCCAAAAAGTTTCTCTCAACCACATCATCTTATTGCACTTCATTAAATCCACTTGAAAGTGTTTCTTTAGCGCAGTGAAACATCTCTGATGGTTATTTTAGAAGGCACACTGCTGAGGAAATGCCAGCATCCATTTTAAAAGATGCAAGAAAATTCGCAGACTCCTCGCTGTGACAATCACAAAGAACCGTGGACTCATTTGGAATTGATTGCATTCTGTTATTATGAATTCTCAGCCTTTCTGTCGCTGAGAACCTCTCGTATTCCTGTCTGCGTTCCTCTTTACATCCTATCCTGGATAAAATCACATCAATCATCTCCTGACAAAAGATCATCTCAAATAGGATGTGTACCATCCACTGCCACACCCACCTGTTTGTGAGATTCTGCTGTCCCCCCCAAGCCACTTATCACCAGCCGCCATCAAGGGAGATCATCGTGGGGTGTAAGGAAACACAATCTGCCTAACTAAATACCCTGGTACTGGAAAGCAATTCAGTCACCACAATAGCAGAAGCGAATGTGCGTGGTTCTCACAATGCGTAATCCCCTCCACTTACGACCTCCCCTTTTCTTCTTCTCCCCTGTCCTCCTCAAACTTCCCGGGAAAGAACAAACACAGGCTCTATTGTCTGGGCCTCGCATCTGAATACTGACGAACACTCGGGGCCTTCATCACCATGCAAATAGTCACAACGCAGACTTACAAATGGATTTCTATCCGTTTGCTCGCTGGTTTTTCTTTTTTTTTCCCCTCCCCATGTTTTGTGAACAATCCAGCATTTGTTAGAGCGGAGCTGGAGCTCGGAGGGGATGGTAATTCATCCACTGTAAGGCCACTATTTCTGCACCGAGACGACGGCAACAGTCTGTTTTTTGACATTCAAGCTGAGGGAGAGGGCCGTTCCTGCGCGCCTCGTCCTGGTATGGTCACATTTAAAAATTGACCTGTCATGACACGGAGTTGCAAAATCACTCAAGATGTTGTTTTTCGTTCACTTTCTCCCAGTTGTTTACATCCACTGGTGATCGGGGTTGTTGTAAAACAAAAGCTGACATTGGAGTCGATATAAGGTCTTTAGGTTCGATAAGCTGAATCGAATAAAAATTACTTTTTGATTAATTTGTATTTAAAGACAAATCGCACGACTTACAGAGGAAAAACTATGACTGACTTCCAACTACCTCGGCATTACTGACAGCAACCCAAACAAAACAATTATTTAAACAGGTTTCAATTTATCTGGATTTCGATTGTGATCCCAGGATTGTTCATAATACTCAATGTGAAAACTGTCCAACAAATCCTGCTCCTCTGTCCACTTAACAAACCCCAGCCTTTGTCAATAGAACACACGCAGCCACGCCCAGAACTGACAGAAATGATCGATGCAACGTCTGGTCGTCAGCCGAGCTTCAAGAGACAGAAGCCTGGAAGGAGGAGTGAATTACAAGATGCTTGCAAACAGGCGATAACCGATTCTTAATGAGGCATAAAGCTGCTCTGAGATGGGAGATGAGTTATTGTTCCCACATCTTTCTAACTGATATCTGTTTTTAACCGATCCAACCATGTCGCAATCTTACAGTGTCCGCGAGTGTCAGAGATCCTGTCAGTGGGGGCCTGGACAGAATTCATTAGATTTTCCGTGGAAAGTGAAACACAAGTACAATTGTGAATACGCACAATGAAAAGGGACCAGAATCAGAGGAGCAAAAAAAACTTGGTGGAAGGATGTGGTGCGAGTCAGGGACGATCCCGTTCTATACCCTTCTAGTTTACTATGTCAACAAATGAGAGTAACTATTGAAATAGCTTCTATAGCTGCCCTTTAATGCAGCTGGGTTTGGAAATTAATTTTTGAGAATATGTTATGATCGTAATTTGACAGGCATAGTGAAGACAGACAGGTAATGTGCGGACAGAGAGTGGGGAGCATGCAGTAAATGGTATTGCTGGCTGGGAATCAAACTGGGGACTCGCCACTCATGGAAAAAAGTCCCAACAAGTGATGTGCCCTTAGCATTCAGCAAAAGTTTCTTACTTTTAATTATCAGTTTTCAGCTGAATTAGGGTCAATGTAAAAGCAACAACACTCAAACTGTGAGAGAGGCTGGTTTAAATGTAAAGAATACTTAAAGGCACATGGAGTAAATGCTATGTTTTGATTTGCGCCGAATACAAACGTACATTTACCCTCCACTACACAGCCCTGCTGCTAATTATCACGGTAACTCCAATTTTAATGAGTTAAACGTTTGTCATCCTCGACTCATTTTTGATTTGACAACCAAATAACCTTTTGGGAAAAAACCCAAAGAGGATTCATTACATGCTTCTCGTAAACATTCTGACCTCCGAGGGCTAATTACTGTACAATCCTTAACAAAGCTAATTGATTCGATCATTAGAAAGCGCTGAGAGGGGCCTGGCTAACACTGTCGGCTGTAAATGTCTCCAAAGTGACGGCAGCAGCCTTCGCTCAGCTTTTGGACAGAGTGGAATTTGTTATTTTGGAAGTTGAGAATAGTTCTAGCTGTGAACTCCACTGCTCCCATTCTGATTACATATCAAACAGAGAAATGTCAGGACCTGCACTGTGACATTTAAAACCCCCATTGTAGACCTTGTCTAATTGAGCCTCCCTCATTATAATGATGGAGTGTGGACCCACCACTGCAAGAAGAATATCAGAGATGAAAGGTGTAGTTTAGCGCCGGTAAAAATTATTTACATTTCCATTCTCTTCTTCTTGGTGAGCAGCGAAGCAACGAATCCCACTATCTCTCAGTCTCTGCTGACATTTCAGGCCCGTCGAATAATGGGCACAGCGTAATGGTCAGCATATTTGCAACAAGATAAAGGTGAGTCTGGTCAAATCCGCATTCAGCGGGATGTCAGGTTGTATAAATAATGTAAGCTGTAATGGTGATATAGCGCCTGCTTATGTGCTGTGTTACTCACTATCAGTGAAGACATCATTCTCCTCACAGGAGGCACCGAGAGAAGATAATGTGGCTCTGACATTAAACTGATGATTTGTTTTTCACATCTCTATCCTCTGCTCTGTATTTCTGAGGAGCGCTTTTGAATATGTCAATGAAAAACTAGTTATTTTCTAATCAAACATTAAACCTACGTCGATATAAAGTTCACGGGTTCGCGCTCACGAGAGATGAAGCACTGAGCGGTTCTGGCTCCGTCATGTTAGAGGCAGATGTGCCCTTCACGGCTTCCATTCATATTGTTGCGATGCCTCACTGTAATTGGAGGGAGAATAAAGCGTCCTTGGCATTCTGCTCAGTCCACTGTGGTGAATTTGATGAGGATGTCACATTAAAAATGCATGGTCCTCATACGTTCCTTGGCCTTTGTCTTTAGCCATGGGAAACAGCGGACACTTATGACAAATAAGGACGGAGCTGACGCTGCCTGAGGTGGATCTCTTTATTCGACAGGAGGCATCAGCGGCTTTTCGCAGCGCCTGCCTCCTCCACATGACACCGTGCATTTGTAAAATGTCTGGGCTGATGGAGGGGATGAGAATGGGGTCACAAAAGAAAAGTTCCATTGATGAACTTATTCACCTGATGTTTTGGTCGGAAAGTTTTTTTGTTTGAAGCAACAGCTCGGACAGCTGACTGGTGGCTGGCAGCCAACTGTGAACCAGATGCTGGACGATTACTTGTGAGACGTTTCCCTGATCCTCCATGAATCTGCCACAAATGAACACTGACTCTGCTCTGCTGGGCATCGAGGGAAATCTCCTGGAACCAGACAGCAGCATTTTGTTTACACCAACATTTAAAGTGGTTGCGGGTTCATAAAATAAAGCCCAAGGTGCAATATCAAGTGCATTTTGATCTACTTATAGTTTAGTGTTGGAGTGTTTTGTGCAACACATTTAAGGTACAATATGTAACTTGAATGTGACTCAGGCACAAATCATGTTTGACAAAATAATCCCAACCATTACGAGCCAGTGTGAATGATGGAAGGAAACAAAACGATATGATGTAATTAATGGAGGCCAAAATGGAACGTCCCGTTACCTCAATCTAAATAGTTAATTTCTCTGAGTTTGAACATTGTTAAAATACATTTTGCATAAGTATATAACTCAACAAAACATGTAACATAAGTCTAGAAGTTTTTAAATATTTTACTAAAAGATTATAACACATTATATCTTTAACTTTCTGTATTAGAAGTGAACCGCATTGGCAATTTCAATTTACTTCTGATTGGCTGGTAATCTGCTGAAAATGTACCCTCATACATTTGCCTCCCAGTTAAAGCACTATTCTAAATCAAATGAAAGTCCCGTTCATTTTTCCCGTAGGCAACATTACGTGACTCACAGTTGAAGCACTTCTTCAGCTCGAAAGGGTTTGAAACTGCAGAAAAGATGAACAACTGGTGTAAGAAAATTTCTAGTTCTTTTATAAAATAGTCTGAAAGACATTAAATCTCAGGCGGGGAGGTAACCGGGAATACCTCAGTGCTTTTCAGTGAGGAAAGAAAAAAGGTGCATTGTTTAAAATTGGGTTTTCAGGTTCTGGGTCAATAATAGAATGACTCAGCAACAACAGCAAAGCAAATCGCTGAATTAGCTGTAGCTGTGATTCATACTTTTGCCAGTGTTTGTTGCAGCATTTATAGTAAAGTGATTGTGGCCGCACATCACGTGAAGTACACTGGCCCAAAAAACTTTTTTCACATACTTCTGGAAAAGTAAAAAACAAAAAGTTTTTATTTTACTTTATCCACTTCATGTGTGCGCTCTAAACTGACTGTGTGTGTGTGTGTGTGTGTGTGTGTGTGTGTGTGTGTGTGTGTCTGCTTCCTCTGTGTCTGAAAATATCCAAATGATTTGGCTTCACTCTCACGGAGCTGTCATGTCATCCGTCTTCATCATTTTCATCATCATGATTATCCACACCTGGCTGGCTGCAGTAAAGGTTTTACAACCAACCTCCCCCATGTTAGTGGAGGGGACATGGACCAATCTAAAAAGTCAAAGTCCACGTCGATTTAATTTTCCAGTTTCTGTCCTTTAAGGCGCTGATGCTACTACTGCAAAACAATAAACATGCAGTAATTTGAAAATACTAATACAACATCCAACCTTTTTAAGGTGTAAAGTGGCCACAGAATATATGTACTAATACATTAGTATCTTAATATAAGGAATAACGTCACAAAGTAAAAGTCAAGGTTGTTTTTAAATACTGAGGTGTGAGAATCCTCTGATGTCTGTTAACTTACAAATATAACGCACGTTTACTTAGATTTGTCATTGCCCTGTTAAGTACTCTAGTTGACAATAAGTAAAGCCACCTACGCGTGCCACCGTGGTGCGAGAGTCATATCTCTGTTTTTCTATTTAATGTCAGCCAAGTTTTATCTTCAGAGAGTGAGAACTGACAGCATCTCTCAAAGGAGGTGCTCAAGAAATGAGCAGACCTCTCTCTGTTCTCGGGGGAAATATAGTTTTGAGTTGAACGTGTG